CCTACTGACATGGGGACCCTGGGATACATGGGGACACAGGGAGACATAGGATCACTGGGAGACCTGGGGATACGACATTAGGGGACACTGGGAGACATGGGGCACTGAGACACTGATACATAGGATCACTGGGAGACCTGGGGACACGACACTAGGGGACACTGGGAGACATGGGGCACTGAGACACTGATACATAAGAATACTGAGACCTAGAGTAATCGACACATGGGGGCACTGAGTCATGAGGGCACTGGGAGACATGGGGGCACTGGGAGGAATCCATCTATACAGCAGATTTAAACTAAGTAGTTTTTTGGTGATTTTACAGCATTTTCTCTTATGTCACTCCTTGAGATTTACATCATGTGATGTCACCCACACATATTTAATTATGCAAATTAGTAAGGCCGGTATGTTTTTCCAAGAAAGGTGGCAACCCTAACTACTTTTCATATACTCTTACTTAAGTATGGAAACTTAAGAGGGAGTAGAAGCATTACCTTCAGGCTTTTTGCTGTAAGCACAGTCTTTTCAGAGAAAATGCTGTGTTTACATTACATCCTAGTGATAACTTCACTGGCCACTCCTTAGATGACTGTTAGAGATCCTTCCTGGGTCATGGCTGCCTAAAATGCATCCAAACATTCAGTGTCTCCTCCCTCTGCATGCAGACACTGAACTTTCCTCATAGAGATTCATTAAATTAATCTATATAAGGAGATGCTGATTGGCCAGGGCTGTGTTTGAATCATGCTGGCTCTGACCCTGATCTGCCTCTTTGTCAGTCTCAGCCAATCCTATGGGGAAGCACTGTGATTGGATCAGGCCACCACTTCTAATGATGTCAGCAGACTGCTTGTTTTTATGAGTCTAACAGCATGCAGAGTTACAGCTTCAGGCTTGAATATAGTAGGATTTTGCTATATTTATGGAGGCATGAGGGGCCCATGGGGGGCTAGATGGTGGTGTTAAAGGACCACTATAGTGCCAGGAAAACATACTCGTTTTCCTGGCACTATAGTACCCTGAGGGTGCCCCCACCCTCAGGGACCCCCTCCCGCCCGGCTCTGGAAGGGGGAAAGCTTACCTTTTTCCAGTGCTGGGCGCAGGAGCCTTCCTTCCTCGCCTCCGGGATCTTCTTCGCTGAATACACGCTGCAAGAGTTGCGCCAAGATTCACAGTTGGTCACATAGGAAAGCATTATGAATGCTTTCTATGGACGCTGGTGTGCTCTCACTGTGAAAATCACAGTGAGAAGTTATTTCAGTGCTTCTAGCGGCTACGCATTGCCGCTAGAGGTTTTTAGTAGTTGCTAATTAAATATAGCAGTTTCTCTGAAACTGCTATGTTTATAAAAGAATGGGTTAAGCCTAGCTGGACCTGGCACCCAGACCACTTCATTAAGCTGAAGTGGTCTGGGTGCCTAGAGTGGTCCTTTAACACTATAGGGTCATGAATTCATGTGTGTGTTCCTGACCCTATAGTGATTCTTTAAGGTAATGCTGACTTTGGTCTCTCTAACACTGTGGCATGTTCCCTTTCTTCTACACTCACTACATACAGCTTTTCTCTGTCCCAGACCATATACCAGGAGCTTCTGCCTGCTAGTAAGAAGGTAAGGAGACAAGTGGACCAGCGAGTGCTAGGGGACAGTCCTTAGAAAGCGTTGAGCGAGCGCATCATTAGATGCATTTATGCCAAGCTCAGGGTCCTGTCTGCCTAGTATGCCCTTAGTTGGCCAGCTGCATGATTGGCAGGCAGCCTGACATGCATTCATACCAGGCTGGCCGTCTAATTCTTTGAGCAGACATGTCCTCTTTTTGGGCATGTTCGCCCCTTTTGGCAGGTTACGTGATTTGTGTCAGTGGCACACCCTTTTACCATGCCCATTGACTTCCTGCTTGACTGGACACTGCTGTTAGGGGTTATGGATTTACTTGAAAGATGAAAACATAAATTAGAGAGAGATTAGCCTAGGGTATGTGTTTTCTTATAGTTTTCTTTCTCTCCAGCACCATCTCCATCAGATACATGATGCTTGGGAGTGTTTTACTGTTTTTGGTCGATATGATTCCGTAATTAGGCCCGTCATAATTGTCAGCACCAGGCCCACTGGGCTCTTAATCTGGCCCTGGGGGTGGAGTGTGTAGGGGATGTCCTGATATGTGTGTAAGGAATGCATTGTGTGAAATTGTGTTTGTATGTGTAAGGACTGCAAGGTGTGTTTCTGTGTATGTATGGGATGCATTGAATGTGTGTAAGGGGTGCATTAAGTGTGTGTAATGAATGCATTGTGTGTTTCTGTGTGTGTAAGGGATGCATTGTGTGTAACAGTTGCATTGCTTGTGTATGTGTGTCTGTGTGTGTAATGCATTGTGTGTTTTTCTGTGTGCAAGGGGTGCATTGTGTGTATGTGATGAATGTCAATCTCTCCTCCCGCTCCAATTTCCTTCTCCTCCTCCCAATTTCTCTTTTTCTCACCCCCCTTATCTCTCTTTCTCACCCCCCCTTATTTCTTTTTCTCACCCCTCTCTCACCCCCCCTTATTTCTCTTTCTCACCCCCCCTTATTTCTCTTTTGCCTAATTATTGCAAATCTTTGTTTGACCCTGCATGCTCTTGCTGTTGTGGCATGGTGTGCTACATGTGATTTTATATGCACGAATAAAATAAAGAATTTAAAAAAAAAATAGTGTGTGTTGGGGGCATATTGCATCCCCAGCACACATGACGTAAGCAGCTCAGAATTAATGTTAATTTTTTGCATATTTTATGTCTGTCATCAGCGTGTACTGCACACTGTCAACACACGTAACTGCTTCTCCCTTGCAAGCAGAGCCATCCACACTGATTAAAGCCCTCACTCCTTCCTATTCCCTATGCAATTATTTTAATCCCCACCCTCCTTTTCCACCATGCACTCTCCCTCTCCCCTTGCGGGCTCAGAGTATGCGCTCTGACACATTAAATCCTCAAATTTGTATTATTTTATTATTTATATAACACCAGCAAATTCCGTAGTGCTGTACAATGGGTCAAAGGATTCTCTATGACATGTCTTTGATTGGACCTCGGCGAGCCTCCCGTGACATCAGACGAAGGTGCACCGAGGACACCCTGCGCTGGATAAAGGTAAGTAAAACTATATTTATAAATGCTCCTTGTGGATTTCTTTTAGGGGAAACAGCATAATAATGCCAATAGGCAATTTGGCACTAAATAGGGTTAGAGAAACCGTTTAACGCCAGCTGACATTTACAGTTTAATTGCTAGCCTCATTAAGGAATTGCTACATTTAGTGACAGCAAGCCTCTTCAGAAATGCAAATAATTACCAGACTTAACATTCCATGTAGGCAAAGGGTCTGCATGCACTGTGTCACTAAAGCATGGCATCTCATTCTTATAGCTAGATGAAATAAATTCTTATTAATGCATTATAAACTGAATCAAGGACCAAATCACGGGTTTGTGTAATACATTTATTAGCCCTATAATAAAATAAGGGATGTATTATGGCCGATGTCACTTCCTATTTTTCTTAAAAGCATCATTCCTGACACAATGTCAGGAAACATGTGTAGAGTTGATTAGTTATATTGGAATTTCTTTTCTCACCTGCTGCATAGTAGGATGTGCTGGGTTTCGGAGTATACGGGTCTCAACATGTTCAGGAACCAGCCCCAGAAAGTGCAAGACGTGCAGTGAGAGACGCTCTTGAGGTGAGCCCAAGTGTTGGTGTAAACAGCGCCCTTTTTCTAAACCCATAAAAAAAGAATGCAGAGGATAATGAACTACACTACAGTTTTGTGTGGTTTATTCAGTTTACACAGAATTTTAGTGATATGAAAAATGGAATGAAAAACATTGGCTGTAATAGGGTGGTTAAAAAAAATCAGCTATAAAATAGATTTGCAATCAGTTTCAAGTCACCATATTCTAACGTTCAGTCAATAAAACCTCTGAGTTTTTGGACATTCTTTTCTGGTTATTTCAGTACAGACTAGGGATGGTACTATATACAATTCTGTAGAGAAGGCCGGTTCCTTATGGAGTCTCTCATGAATATACAATGATTCCACTACAAATACATTTGTCTGGGTAACACTTAAAAAATATTTAACTATAAATAAATGCATAATCTTTTGCCAGGGCTAAGTTTGCATGATGCAATTTTAGTTGGATTATCATATTACAGGGAGAAATACTTTTGTGGGCTCTCTTACCAAATTTAGACAGGTGTATTTTGGTGCTGTTAATCAACACACAATGCTCATTCTCAGTAAAAACAGGTAGATCCCACTTCCTTTTAACACACAGATGGCGAAGCAGTTCTGAGGGCAGTAGCTGGTCCCTCCAAACATTTGGACCTGAGCTTAAAGATAGGCAGACATGGAGACAGAATTTACTGACTTTATTCACCTTTTTCTGAATATGACCATCAAGTACCATTATTGCTATTAACGACCATACGTCTGAAATACTAAACATCAAACGTTCTGCATCACAAACCAAGATTCTTAGAGATAAGTACCCATATAACTGGTATCACTAGCGCCAGTCGAAAATTAAATATCTTGTAATTTGGCTCTCTGCATATTAAGCCCAGTTGCATCCACTTAACGTCCTTCTACTCCTAACAGAGATCTGAAGCAATGGGAGTTTCAACACTTGTTATGGTTGGAAGAAATAAAGTGATCAAGATATTTGTGTACTCCAAACTGTTAAGATTTACATTTCTGAAACTTATTTCTCCACCCTAAAGATGTCATTCGTACACTCTATATGGAAGAGAAACAGCAATGCCTTTTTTACTGTATAAAAACAATGACTGTGTATTGGCACAATGATTCTTGCCCTTTGTTTGGCAACTATGGAACAAGGATCATGTGTATCCAATGTACTGCTCATTTTAATGATGTACTGTACTTAGTAATCCTCTGTTATAGTCTAACAGATTCAAGCTGTTTTAAAAGTAATCTCAGAAATGTCTGGCAGTTACTCACACACTATATGTTTGAGGGAGTCCACATTTGGCACCAAAGCGTGAAAGTAGTCTATTTTCCAAGTCAATATATGTCTCTCCAATTTTATCATCATCAGACATGATGTCATAATCAAAGACACAAACTTTCAAGTCCTTTTCCAGGGGTATAATACAATTAAGCTCAAACAGCCTGTACAGTGAAAGAGGTAATTAGTTTTGAGAAGAGGACATAAAAATCATCAGGGTATAGTAGGCCACACATTAAATACTTAAATACTCTGTGAATGCACAACACTCTTATACTCTTCATGTAAAACTAATCAAGGATCCTGTGCATTATAGTCATGATGCTCTGTAAAATATGTGGATTCCTATGCGGTTATGAGTAGTAGGGATATACCGCCACCTGAAAGATACTCACATTGGGTGAGAAACAGCATGAAAGCTTAATAATGTGCTGCTATAGTTTCATTAGTACCCTACAGTCCTGAGTACTGTGAGCAACCTCAAATAACTTCATTTTTTCTTACCTGAACCAACCAGATAATAGATAACGTTACTTTCTCAAAGTCTAACCTCAACACGCAAAGCCTAAGTTAGCAGTAATAAACCTATACTGGAATAAATGTATTAAAGGGCCTTAGAGTGGCCAGACTTAATGTAAATTTAGAGGAAATGTAGTCAAATACAAGCCTAGATCAGGATAACAGAGAGACCGCAAAAACAAGAACTAGCCAAAGTCTGGTAAATAAGTCAAACAAGTAAAGAGGATAGGAAAGGGTTCCAGAGAAACTACAGGCCAAGGACAAAGCATTCTTTACTTTACAATTCGGACCGCGCAAATGGCTTTTGCATTCAGCGTGCGTTGCCCTTTTGAACTTTCCTGTACTGCACAGAAGACCCCAACCGGCACGAGAATTAGGCAAGTCACACTACAGTTACTTTGACAGCTACATGTGTAATTTGGATTTGTAAGTTCTGCCTTTGTCTGGTAAAGAATCACATTACATGAAGAGACCAATTTATTAGTATTTTCAATTGCATAGATATTATAAAAAAAATTGTTTTGTGGGTTTTTCATCTCATTTGCTTGGAGGGACCAAGGTGTTCCATTTATTAATTGCCTTGGTGGTAGCAGCTTTTGATATTAGAGTTAGGTGTGGGTTCTGTTAAGTGAGGTTTTTATTATGGTTTTATTTTCAGTCTAGTACAGACAAATATTGATTTTTAACCCTTTTACTGCCAGAGCCAAGTTGCGAGCATGCATGATGTAGAGTGTGTTTGTGACACATACATAAATGCATATGCTTGTTATCAATTGAGAAAGCTACTGTGAGTGGTGAAATGCGTCTCGGAAGGAAGAAGCATCTTAGTACTATTATTGTATTAGTATTATAATATTGTATTGTGTGTATTGTATTTTACTTTAATTGTTTTTGTTTTAAGTATATTTTAATAAATTTTATATGTGCTACATTGCACATAGTGTAGTGTACTGCAATCTTCCATCTGCTTCTACATTACAAGAAGGGCTGTGCCCCCCTAAACTGACAAACATGTATATATTGTCTATGGGTGTAAAAACCTTTGTACACATGTCACCTATTATATGAACATACTTCACTACAAGCTGTGCTTTTGTCTTTTTATCTCTCCTGAGTTTATCTGTATACAGATAGAAGAGGGCAGGTGACACCTGAGAACACATCTACTTAAGTGATTTGAGCCTATCCCCAATTGGCCCTGTTTCATGTAAATGTGTAGCATATACTATTATATACACTCCATGTTGCTAAATACAATGCACTATATTTATTCAATTCTTATCTAGTATTCCTGTATAACACATCTGGCTTAGTATATAAGGGAAGGTTTCTCTTTAAGCACTCCACTTCATACACTGGTGGTAATTGTAAGCATTCAGCTTGTTTTGTATAATTAATATATATATATATATATATATATATATATATATATATATATACATACATATACACACACACAAACACACACACACAGTTATTAAATACCTATATATATTTTTAAAAAATATTTATGCCTGCAATGTCTAGTTAATAAAATAATTAAACTCTGCGATTTATGTGGGTGGATGAAAGTAAGGGTGCCTTAGAATTATGTGCCTACAGGCACCTGACATGTTAATCCAGTCCTGTGTTTATGGCATGAGTTAATAACATCCCAGGCATGGCAGCTTGAAGCTCATCAAAATTAAGGTACTCGTCACCTGCTTCAGTGAAGAGTGGGGAGTAGATTTCAAAACACTTTCATGGTCCTTTTTCTCGGTTAAACAGCGCTAATAATGATAAAAAACAGGATGTGACAATACCACTAGTGGCATGTTTAACCATTCAATCAAAACATTACCATATATACTAAACGACAATGTTTTAGACTGAAGGGCTAAAACTAAATGGCCATTACAACCAAATCACTTCTTTTAGATGAAATAGTCCAGGTGCCTTTAGTCCTTTAAGACAATAGATGGAAAATGTCAGACTGAGTCAAACAAGGAGCTTCATGATATAAACTTGCATTTCTATTTTGATGGATCCAGACTACTATCCCCATATATATTATACATGTTGGTTAAAATACACATACTTCCCAAATACTGGGTTTAAAGTGCACGGAATGTAATTCTCTCTGTTGTCCATTTTTCTCTTTCCAACTGAGATTTGCACATAGGGGTCACACTGAGATGGAAAGAAAGTTATTTGAAGGTTATCAAAAAAATATACTGCAACATAAACTATCCAGCAGACATTGACAAGGAGTAGCTAGCAAACCACAGTTCAGTTACCATGCAAGGTCATTCACTAAATCATAAATTGTTGGGAATTCACAACATAACTGCAAATTAAGACCAAAATATTTGATCTAGAAATACAGATAATTTTGCGAATTTTCAGATTGAGTTATTTTGTACTTAAATGGTAAATTTCTTTGTGACTATCAAAGCACAATTAGCAGACATAAATGTCAGGAAATAAACCTGAATTATTTACTGAATTGAATCGAGTATTGATAAACAAGTATAGGCTTGTGGACAATAATCACCAATATCAATAAAATTGGTTCATTTTACTTATAACAAAAACAATATCCTTATGTCTATGGGTGTATCTGGGAAAGTACTAATTACCATATGACCAAAGAATATCCTAATGATTGTATCTATAAATACATATTAAATGAAAATACCAATAATGACCACTTAAAGGTGCTCTAGCATTAAAATACAATACCATATTTAAGATCATAGAACATGAAACAATGCATTTGTGGAATTTCCTTATAGTCATATATAATAAGTTAATTTAATTTGATTTAACTTAGTAATATAAGCTTGTTCATGCTCTGGTAACATTTCTTCACTGATTCGTAGGTATGCCCCTTCTCGATCTCTCTGCTCTGTCAGTGACCTTTTCCTGTCCGGTGTTCTCACCCTTACTGCTAACTCACACTGCAGGACTTTTTATGGGTATCTCCTTTCCTTTGGAACAGCCGGCCTCCCCTAGAATCTCCCCTAGTCTTCAATCGTTTAAGAAGTTCCTCAACACCATCTGTTCAGAAATGATTATGCCCTTATAGAGTCACTTCTACGTCACATATCTGTCTCTTGCTCTCTCCTAAAGAGCCACAATCCACTCTCACATCCTTCTGTCCCCTTGATGCCCTTCCTACTGTGTCTTTATACTTCACTCCTCTACTCTGTTTGCTCATTTGAGAAGGATCCTCATCTACCTGTTGTCCCTGTATCATTTTGTAATTGTCTCATTATTAAAGCGGCACTGTCATGCCGAATCCCGTTTTTTTTTTTAACCCCCCTCCCGCCTCCACTACATCCAATTGACCCACTAGTCACCCCCAAATGCCCCTAAGCCCCCCACATTACCTATTTTTTAATCCTTATTTTCTGCCCCGATCTTGATTCAGGGCGCCGCCATCTTTGTGTGGGTAGGTGAAGTCCCTGTGGGACACGTCATCAGCCCACACTAGATAGACTGTGAGATTCCCGCACATGCCCAGTGAAACACCTGGACATGCGAATGGGAATTTCATCTATTCATTCATTCATCAGACAGACGAATGAGTGAATAGAAATATCAGCTGAACAAACTAACACAATGTATCAGTGTTAGTTTGTTCGTTCAGTTTATTACAAGGAGGGAGCTACCGGCGTGCAGCTCCCTCCTTGTAATATGTAACTATAGAAGCAGCAGGGAGCAGTGCTCCCCACCACTTCATAAGCCCCCCCAGTACCCCCTCTCACTCTATGGGGGTCAATAAACAGTAGAGTCTAATCCGACATGACATGAAAATTTTCTCAAGATACATCATTTAAAAAAAAAAAATTATTACGTTTTTATACATAATACATTTTTAAAAACCAAAACGTGAAAATATGAATATCGTTATCCTTTATGTTACTGAGGAAAAATACTGAGGCAAATTATATATTTTGACTTCGTTGGAATTTCAACATACAAGATCCAATTTCAGTGAAATTCCAACACAGTCAACCTGCATATATCATAAAGATTTTATATTTATAAAATACTAATTTTAGTGGTGGTGGGAGGGGGGGGGGGACATCAATCACATAGACCCCAAAAGCCAAAGCTCCTAAATGTGAGTGGCGACTTAATATTTTAGTATCTTGTGTATGACTCTATGGTTATAGCTACTTCCTCTTACTAAAATGCTAAGTAATACATACAAATTGAATAGAATACATCTTGTGTTGTCTAAGTGAACACACAGCAATAATTGTTTTGCTGGGTCAATGAGACACATAAAATATATCACACACATTAGTATTATGAAGATGCAGACCACCCTTATGTCAGATCAGTATCAATTTGAGAATTGTACTGCTAAGCTTGAGACATGTATTGCAAATGTTATAAGGTTTGTTGCTGTATGCAGATATCTGTAAATTCCATAGTCTTGTTTCCTTACCAGTCCATTTCTGTCACGTGGGGACAGGTCTAATCCACGAACAATATAGATCCGCAGTAGGCATTCCTGGGGGCTATTATCAGGGATATCATAGAACTGAGCAGGAGGCATCAAAAGCTCTGTGTTTTCTGGCAGTGGGTAAATCCTAAAGGAAGCCTTGAGGAAGGACATGTCATAGTATAATGAAAATTAAATAGGCTCTTGATGGCTACCAGGAATGTCACACATCAATTCATGTTTAGGAAAACCTACCTTCACTTCACCCACTACCTGAAGATTATCATTCTCAATTGTCTCACCAACTGACCTGCCATGGCAAAGTTGAAAAGTCTGACAAAAATCTTGCAGACCATGAAATTCGGGTATGGACTCCAGCTCAGTGTCATAGATCTGAAGAAGGCAGAAAAAATTAAGTGTACTCTTTAAAAACAAATAAAAAAAAACAAAAAAAAACTAGATTTAAGGTGATAGTCATTAGAGCAATGATGAACTATTATAAAGTAGAGAAGGCTGTGGACTGCCATTTCTTGTCTCTCTCAGCCTCACCTGGCTGTGCATCAAGGGAGATGCCGTTCACAGAATCTTGAACACGTTATCCCCTAATTCTAAATCCAATTTAACCATATGTTTCCAATACCTAGCTCTTACTTTAGCACATTTTCATCACAAAAGACCCTGTTTATGACTGTGTAAAGAATCTGTATTCCATTTACTACAGTACAATTTCAGCATTGCTCAAAAGACTCTTGGCATCTAAACTGTATCTTTTCAAAAACATTTACATTCTAAAATAGAATGTTTTGAAATATAGGGAAAACAATTAGTGATAGATGATAAAGAAATTCTGAATATTCATATAGAGTAAGCATTCCAACAAATGGAATAAGAGGGTACCTTCATACCTGGATATGGAACATGATAGATTGCACATTAAAGTTAAGGGATTTGAACAGGTGGAGAGATACAACAAGGAAACATTGCACGGATGACAAGAAAAACAAATATGCAGAGTAAAGAATGTGTGATACATATGAGGTAACAATAAATAAAAAAACATGAGGATACAATAAATGAAAACAAATAGTTCTTTACAATGAAGGATATAATATATATTTTCATTTTCACCTTTAGAGTGTCATGTCCTTCATCTAGATATTTCCTTACACTGGTCATTTCAGTGGTTGATGCATAGTACTTACTCCACCAATCATATTCATTCTCACTCTGGCAGAAGGACAAATATTCACAAGTTATGATTGTATTATTATTCACATGCAAATGATCCACTGAACTCTTCGTCTTGTAAAATTCTATATAAACTCCACAGTAAAACTTTTGAGTTCACAATGTTTTAAATCTCTGTTAAAGGACCACTATAGGCACCCAGACCACTTCAGTTTAATGAAGTGGTCTGGGTGCCAGGACCAGACAGGATTACCCCTTTTTTCTGTAAACATAGCAGTTTCAGAGAAACTGCTATGTTTACCTATGGGTTAATCCAGGCTCTAGTGGCTGTCTCATGGACAGCCGCTAGAGGGCTTCCGCGCTTCTCACTGTGATTTTCACAGTGAGAAGATGCTTGCGTCCATAGGAAAGCAATGAGAATGCTTTCCTATGGATTGGCTGAATGTGCGCGCAGCTCCTGCCGCGCATGCGCATTCAGCCGAAGAGGAGGAGAGGAGGCGGAGAGGAGGAGGAGAGCTCCCACCCGGCGCTGTAGAAAGAGGTAAGTTTAACCCCTTCCTCCACCTAGATCCCGGCGGGAGGGGGACCCTGAGGGTGGGGGCACCCTCAGGGCACTATAGTGCCAGGAAAACGAGTATGTTTTCCTGGCACTATAGTGGTCCTTTAATGCCATGCATCTGTACTTCCTTACTGAATGAATAATGTAGACATTGTTGCAGTTACTGTTATATACATCATACTATCCAACATTTAAAGGGACAATATAGTCACCAGAACAACTACAGCTTATTGAATTTGTTCTGGTGAGTAGAATCATTACCTTCAGGCTTTTTGCTGTAAACACTGTCTTTTCAGAGAAAATGCAGTCTTTACATTACATCCTAGTGATAACTTCACTGGCCACTCCCCAGATGCTATTAGAGATCCTTCCTGGGTCATGGCTGCCTAAAATGCATCCAAACATTCAGGTTAATCCAGGCTCTAGTGGCTGTCTCATGGACAGCCGCTAGAGGGCTTCCGCGCTTCTCACTGTGATTTTCACAGTGAGAAGATGCTTGCGTCCATAGGAAAGCAATGAGAATGCTTTCCTATGGATTGGCTGAATGTGCGCGCAGCTCCTGCCGCGCATGCGCATTCAGCCGAAGAGGAGGAGAGGAGGCGGAGAGGAGGAGGAGAGCTCCCACCCGGCGCTGTAGAAAGAGGTAAGTTTAACCCCTTCCTCCACCTAGATCCCGGCGGGAGGGGGACCCTGAGGGTGGGGGCACCCTCAGGGCACTATAGTGCCAGGAAAACGAGTATGTTTTCCTGGCACTATAGTGGTCCTTTAATGCCATGCATCTGTACTTCCTTACTGAATGAATAATGTAGACATTGTTGCAGTTACTGTTATATACATCATACTATCCAACATTTAAAGGGACAATATAGTCACCAGAACAACTACAGCTTATTGAATTTGTTCTGGTGAGTAGAATCATTACCTTCAGGCTTTTTGCTGTAAACACTGTCTTTTCAGAGAAAATGCAGTCTTTACATTACATCCTAGTGATAACTTCACTGGCCACTCCCCAGATAGCTATTAGAGATCCTTCCTGGGTCATGGCTGCCTAAAATGCATCCAAACATTCAGTATCTCCTCCCTCTGCATGCATACACTGAACTTTCCTCATAGAGATACATTGATTCAATTCATCTTTATGAAGAAATGCTGATTGGCCAGGGCTGTGTTTGAATCATGCTGGCTCTGCCCCTGATCTGCCTCCTTGTCAGTCTCAGCCAATCCTATGGGGAAGCATTGTAATTGGATCAGGCTACCACTTCTGATGATGTCAGCAGACTGCTTGGTTTTCTGAGGCAAACAGCATGAAGATCTACAGCTTCAGGGTTGAAAACTTTAACCTTTCCTGGTAAGTTTTATCCCCAATCCATGAACCAGTTTAGTAGCCCTTCTCTGAACCCTCTCTAAGGTATCAATATCCTTCTGAAGATACGGTCTCCAGTACTGTGTACAATACTCCAAGTGAGGTCTCACCAGTGTTCTGTACAATGGCATGAGCACTTCCCTCTTTCTACTGCTAATACCTCTCCCTATACAACAAAGCGTTCTGCTAGCATTTCCTGCTACTCTATTACATTGTCTGCCTAACTTTAAGTCATCAGAAATAATCACCCCTAAATCCCTTTCCTCATATGTTGAGGTTAGGACTCTATCAAATATTCTGTACTCTGCCCTTGGGTTTTTACGTCCAAGATGCATTATCTTGCACTTATCCACATTAAAGGTCAGTTGCCACAATTCTGACCATTTATTGATGTGGAACTATGTTATACACTCCAAATATGTTGAGCTCCTAGAGAAGAGGGATATTAGGATAGAAAAGAGGGACAGAAGGATTTGGACCCCAAATAGGGACCGCCCCTCCTTAATAGGGGCACTTAGGATGTATGTAGGCAATAAAAAAATAATAATAATACAAATATATTTTTTTTACATATCCCTGTACCTCTTCCAAGCTTGAAAGCACATAAATGCAATTTATAAGTTGCAGTACACAGATTATTTCTGAATCTTTACCTGCAAATCTGTTTGTTGCTTGCTGGCTTGTGACTCAGTTACCTGCAATATATGACACATGGAGAAAGAATTTAGCAACCCTAAGACATCCAAATTTATGGACAGATTTACCTCTGACACCTTTGATTCTGACATGTTTTCAGCTGATACCACTGAGGAGACAGAAAATATGACAGATCTGCTTAGCATGATGTTTCATAATGAAAAAATGCATTGCCATATGATATCTAACCTACTAAAGTAGTTAAGTCTAGGAGGGAGAACATCCTTGTATATGCTCTACAAAACAAATACACAATGGAATCATAATGCAACCCTCTGCATATTACATGGACAAAATTCTAAACGCAACATTTTTTATTTGCCCCCATTTTTCATGAGCTGAACTCAAAGATCAAAGACTTTTTCTATGAGGCCTATTTCTCTCAAATATTGTTTACAAATCTGTCTAAATCTGTGTTAGTGAGCATGTCTCTTTTGCTGAGATTATCCACCTCACAGGTGTGGCATATCAAGATGCACAGTATGATTATTGCACAGGTGTGCCTTAAGGCATGATACTGGCTTCAGATCCGTTTGCATATAGCCACAGTAATATTTCACCTTGAAGCAAACACAAAATCTGCCCAGGTATACTTACTTCCTGGACACCAGATCACCAATTCGCATATACATGTTACCGTCTCTAATTTTTTTTAAAAAGTGCCATACTTATGTTTGTTTATATGTCTATTATGTTTGATACGCTGTTGTGGCGTCGCAAGCCTATATGTTATTCTTTCTAAAGTACTTTACCGCACAACCAGTTTATCTTATAAGAACCATATAACACAAAGATAATGAGTAAAGAAAAGAACAAAAGAGGAAAAAATATAAGGAAGAGTATACGTATGTAAAAAAATATATAGCACTTTAGAGACTTATATTCCTTGGTCAGTGGTTCCAAGTTTCTTCTATATGGCACAAAGGAAGATAGTGTCTTTTTCATCTCACCTTTAGCTGGCAGTATGGATGGGTACTTCAGTGAAGAAAGACTGCAGGTTCCATATAGTGTGTCCAACTATAACCAAATGGACGGTTATCAAAGACTACAATAGGAGGCACAGGAAGGTACTGGAGAAAAGCAAGAAACTGAATATGTGACAAAAGGAATACTCAAATATTAGTTGTGAATACAGAAGGTTTTGGACAGTTTGTTTTGAGCATAGAACAATGTGCAGAAATATTCCATTAGTTGCCATGAAGATTATGCACTCTTCAAGATTATTATTTTTAAATGACCTTCCTAAAGTACAAAAACTGCAGGTTTCCCTATTACGTTATATTAGTATTTTAGATTAATATGCACAGAGAATGCTAATGAGTAATATGTGCTCTACATTATAGTGGCTTAAATAGTTACAAATTTAGAGGAACACCAACTGTTGGAAATACAAATCTATATTCCTAACACTATAGTGTCCCTCTCCCTAGCTCTAAATAGGTCTCCCCAAAACAACAACAAAAAAGTTGCTGAGGTCAGCGCTGCTTACATCTTTCCATTTATGATGTTACAATTTTTTTAGAGAAGCATTGAGGACCTAATGCTGCACGCACATTAAAAATTCCCAATCCTTTTATGGGGCTTCCGCGTCACGTGGCTAAGGTTTATACTGTCTGTGCCGCAGAAGCACTTTAAATGACTTTCAATATGACAGTATATACAATGTTTTACATTGCAGGAAAGGGGTCAGGAACACTGCACACAGACCACTTCATTAAGATGAAGGATGAAGAGGTCTGGGTGACTATAGTGTTCCTTTAAATTGTTTAACTGTATTCAGTGTTACAGAAAACAATTTGTTTTAAAGCAGTTCTGTCATGTTTGTTTTTTTTCTTTTCCTTATGTCCATTGCATCTTAAAGGGACAATATAGTCACCAAAACAACTTTGACTTTGAAGCACTTTTGGTGTTTAGATCATCCTTGCAGTCCCAATGCTCAATTATCTGATAAATTACAAGTTAAATCACTTTGTTTATGCAGCACTAGTTAAACCTCCCTGCATGTGATTTGCACAGCCTTCCTAAACATTTCCTGTAAAGAGTTATCTAATGTTCATACTTCCTTTATTGCATTTTTTAAAACGTTTCTTTATTGAGACATTACGAGGTATTATACAGAATAAAGAAAATTAGTTATTGCAGGTGATCACACAATGAAATAGCCGTAATATGCTCAACACAATAAGCTCATGTGTATATGAGCCTTTTTTTTTTTTTTTTTAAACACAGCCTTTCTGAACACTTCCTATAAAGAGTTGTCTACTGTTTACACCTCCTTTATTGCAAATTGTTTAATTTAGAAATTCTTATCTCCTACTCTGTTAATAGCTTGTGAGACCCTGCATGAGCCTTCTGTGTGTGATTAACCCCTTAAGGACACATGACATGTCTGACATGTCATGATTCTATTTTATTCTAGAAGCTTGGTCCTTAAGGGTTTAAAGTTCAATTTAAAGAGCAGAAGAAAATAACTTTTAAAGTAAGTTACATCGGATTAGAAATGAAGCCATATTGTTTTCATTGTTTTCATGCAGGCTGTGTCAGTCACAGCGAGGGGAGGTGTGGCTAGGGCAGCATAAACAAAAACAAAGGTGAGTTAACTCCTAAATGGTAGTGAATTGATAAATGAGACTTCAGAGGCATGATAAACACACCAAAACTGCTTCATTAAGCTAAATTTGCTTTTGTGGCTATAGTGTCCCTTTAATAATTATACTCCCCTCTTTACTTCTTGCCTTTATTTATATTTATCTTTTCTTCCTTAAGCTGGGTCTTAATACCTGAGTGCCTCCTCTTTGTTCACCTCTGTCCATGAAGTTTGCAGTTTTCCCTTCTGTGGTATTCTTTTGACTGATGGATTGTGGATAACTTAGCTTAGCAACTAAAATTGAACTTTGCCTAAGCTCCACCCTTTTCCAAAATGTGTTAACCATCATGCACCCAAGAGAACAAGTAGTCCTTATTTTTTCACCATTGTATAACTAAAAAGCTAAGGTGAATTTAAAATAAGAAGAAAAATAATAAGAAATAATAATGTGTTTTAACCCAACCCAGTGTTTTCACATACTAATATCATGCGAAGAAAAGGATGAGGGAAGTTGGGGTTCTTTGTGATGTCATGGATGGGGGATGTTTGGACAGACTGGCCTCCACACTCGATCAACAGACTTGGACTATGCATGTTCAGTAACGGAACGTATTTCAGTGCACGTAGACCCCAGGCTAGAATCTGAAATTCAACAAAAATCTTGTTTACTCATTTGGCACAGTTAGGTGTTTTTCTTTTCTCAGTAAAGGGAATTGCTTTCCACTAGTCAATATAATAAAATACCTCCAGCATCATCAGCATTAGTACAGGTCTGACCTCATTAGGTACCATTAGGTTCCCATTGTCCTTACAGGAAGGTGTTGCAATGGAGTCCAATTTCCCATCCTAAGAAATAGATTATATTGTATTATTGCACAAAAAGTCAAAACATATGACACTAAGCACTAATTAAGCATATGGGAAGGGCACTGTACTGGAAAAGATCAATTAATTGTTTTTACCGTTTCATCCAGGAGAAGCTCGAATGCTGCCAGCACCTCACCACATGATCTCCTCCCTTTTCTGAGTTTATGCCACTCAAGACTCGGTGGAACTCTAGTACTGACATCTAGACACACAACCGGATAGCACAAATTCCACCCCAGGAATTTACCTTTTCCCTATAGGCAAATATTGTATTATTTAAATTATCTATAGTTATTACATGTATACTAATTTAATGTGCTTATCTTTTTATATACGGTGGCTCTGTTTATAGACAGCTCTGTTTATAGACAGTGGCTCTGTATACAAATAAAAGTCCACTGTAAACCACTTCAATGTTATATCATTTACCGTAAATATTCCTTTATTATATTCTGCCTTTGTCTAGTAAAGACTAACATTACCTGGTTACCAGTTACCTGAAGAGACAAATGTATTAGTGTTTTTAAATTGCATAGATATTGTGCTAAATTGTATTTGGTGGGTTTTTAATCTAATCCTATCTTGGTGGTGGCAGTGCTAAAAAATAGTAGTATTTATATTATTATAATTAAGTGTGGGTGGTTGGATGATAAGGTGGCATTATTTCTGGTCTCTTCACTACAGTATCAATAGGTTGTAAGACATACCTGTCTAGTAATGAAATCTGTACTTACTATGTGGCTATTGTCTAACAATTCTATGGTGATATATGGAGTCTCCCTGACCACGGACTGCTGGTCGTCATAGAGTTGAATACCAGAGAACACCAGAGTCTGGTCCCAGAAAGGAGTTAGGGTGCAGGGCTGTATTTCAGTACGCTGACTGACATGGAGAAAGGCTACCTGAATGTAAAGATCTAATGAAAAATCAGAGTTTAATGACGTGTTCAAGTTTTGTCAGCATTCATCACACTGGACCACACAACACACACTACCTGAGAGATGTCTTTACCTTTTGCATTACATAATTATAAGCAATAAAGCAACAACATATACATCACTGTACAAATGAGACAGACAGACAGACAGAGAAATCTATATTAGCCAACTATTCAAAGCTCCTCGTTTCTCCTCTATTAGATCACACTCCAACTCCATGCACCTGGAGATTTGCTTGAATCTGAAAAGAGATGTCGTGCCTGGAATATATAACACCGTAGCTGGTAATATATGGGACCTGACACAAAGAAAGGGGAAAAAAAAAGATCTAGACTGAATTCAGATGAAACATAAACAGAATGCATTGTGTTTGTATGCTGCCATTTATTGGTACACATATAGAGCAACTAATATGTAGGCATGCATCAATACATGACTATTACTAGACAACTGTTAATGTATCTCAGGGGCTGTTAGCTATAAATGAACAACAAATTCTAGCTTTGTCAAACAGTTGCTTTATTTTGTCTCGTGGACTGTACTGTGAATTGTCTACTCATGCTGAAGGTGCTATTATTATTCGTGAAAAGCAAATGGGAAATATTACAATAAATTAATCTAATCGGAAACAGTAATCACTTTAATAAGCATCACCACTGCTGACCACTGCCTAATTTTGCAAAATGATTTACTAAACTGTTGTGATCTTAACTGCCTATATTAATTATGATCTGTTATTATCAAAGTCACCTGAAGCATCATTTTAGGCTTTCTTTGTATGCTTTCTTTGTTACTCAAGGTGAAACTAATATATACACGCTCACACTGACTTCAGAAGTTTGTGTTGCTATAATCCTCACACAAGGACAATATAAAGTGCTTATATTGAACATATACACCCACCCTGACACAAGCAGTAGATAAGAGGAGTGTTTTGACGAAGTACACCCTTAAACTCGTTTTTTGTTCTGTTGCTTTTGCTGCTTTTCTTCTTGTCTATGTCTAGTTCCTGAAAAAGGACAAATAAACTTATCATACTAGTGAGAATAATAAGAGCAAAATGAATTAGAGATATGTTTAAAAAAAGAGAGAACGCAATGATTATGGTAAAAGAAAATATTAATGAAAGCAAAACATGAATAGGCTATCTTACCATGGAACCTTCCAAAAGGAATATTGACAAAACCCCAAGCTCCTCTTGGGGAATCATTGTTCGTCTCCAACATCGTCTCCTGAACGTGTCTGTGGACTTTTGCGTCAAATGAAATTTCAACTCAATGCCTGAACCATATTCCCAGGTATCTGGTTCTGCTATCGTCACTGATGGTTGCTGAAAAAAGGCACAGTGAGAGGGAGATGAGTTTTACATTGTCTGAAAAGGAAATGGGGATATTGGCTGTACGAGTTTAATAGAGCTAGCAACCTCAGTGTTGGAGTTCTGCTCCCTGACATCTCTTTGCCTAATTCGCTGCCACTGACGATGGCGATTTGTATGAAATGCCTTCTCTGCTGCACTCCATGACTTGGGAGTTCCAGATGCTAGGGGATCAATACTATACTTCCACCCTTTGTCCAGTAAAGTAAAATATAAATATAACAAATAAGATGCTAGGAAAAGTAAATGGCAATAAAAAGAAAATTTAAATTACAAGATGTATTAATTAAAATAATATGATTTAATCAAATAATTGATTTATGCCTAAAATACAGACTAGAATATTCTAGAAGGGAATGATAATGACTAAACACTTTCAGTGTGTTTAATTGGCACTCTGCTCATACATATTTCCCTGCATACGTTACCCTGATGATCAGTTGCCTTATTATGCACCACTCTCCATTCTTCAACATAGTGCCAGCCCTGGGGGCACACCATCTCTTCCTTTGACGGACATTTTTCCCCACTCTGTGGAAAATATTAGTACAGACAGAAGACAGAGTAAGGTCAATGAGTATGTGTGAGCATAATTATGGGAAATATTTGGGGAGTAGTGGATTGTCCTACTCACAGCTGATGTGTTCTGAATGAGAGCTGGTATCCATGACTCACCAGCTATACGTGTCTCATTCTCATAAACCTCCTCCGCAACCTCCCATATGTTGGTGTTTCTGTTAAGTGCTACCCTAGTATTTCACACAGGATAAAAGAATGTCAGTGGAATTGTTAGTTTAATGCATGTGACTACTAAAGTACACTTTACAGACAAACACCAAGAGGAGGTCATGTCCACTAATGTTGATCAAAATGTTTACTTATAAAACAAATGTATTGTTATGGGACAGGACTTTTTTTCTGTTTTTTTAAGTTCTCAGCATTAATTGGCACCTAACTAAAGTAATGATAGCCTTGTGTAAGGCAGATTGCAAAGAAAGCTGACATTATTATTCTTCCAGTTGGTCTGATGGCTTCCATATGTTTCACCATATTATCTATCCTTTAAAAAACAAACAAACAAAAAAAACAACTAATCTTGGAAGTGTTTCATTCTATTTCGCTGCATGCTCTTATTAACAGACTTCCAGTCAACTTGGATTAGTAGTATAAGCAATGAGTGAGTGGTTAATTTGCAAAGACCCCCAACAGTGACTGCTGCAGTGGTTGTACGGTTGTCAAAGAGTGCATGGGAATGTGAGTATTACTTACCTGAACCTGTCCCTAGCGGCCGCAGTTGTGTTCTTCCGGCAGTCCTCTTTAGCTCCTGGTGCTTCATGTGCCAGGATCCCACATCAGTGTTGTACTGAAGAAGAACTACCACAAGTGCAACCCTGGGGCCCACACTCTTTGGGGGTCCATTGGGTGGCCCCTGCACTTGGGGCCACCCAATGGGTATTATTGCTTTATTATGGAAAAGAGGCCCAGTGAGGCACCGCAGAACTATAAAAGCACGACCAGGCCCCTTTAATATTGGCCTGTTGAAAGAAAGTGAGAGCAGGTCTCTTCCTCCCAGTTTCTTACAGAGACTGCGGCGCTGGAGGAAAAGAGGCGGCAGTGTAAGGTGAGAAGGGCAAGAAGAGAGCGCTCCTCCAGACTCCACACTCCCATTCACCATAGCCAGCAGTAGGTAGTAAGCCTGAGGAGGGTGCCTGCAAATATGAAAATCATGACAGTCATATGTATGTCAGTGTGTGTTTGTGCCTTTGTGTGTCAAGGTGTGTATGTCAGTGTGTATCTGTGTGTCAATGTGTACATCTGTGTGTCAGGGTGTATGCATTTATCAGTGTTTCTGTGTATGTGTAGAAGTGTGTATCTGTGTGTGTGTATATGCCAGTGTGTGCATGTGCAAGTGTGTGTATGTGTCAGTATGTATATGAGTTTGTGTGTATTTGCCAGTGTGTATATCTGTGCAAGTATGTATGTATGTGGTGGTGTATGTGCATATATCCAAGCAAACAAAAACACAACATGAAAACATACTCTTGCAATCTAACACAAATATAACATACAAGCACACCCCTGCATTCAAACTCCAAAATTATATACAAGCAACCCATTAATCAAACACCAGCACTACACACAAAAGCGCACCTGCAATTAAAAGCCAACACAACATACAAACACACCCCTGCATTTAAATGCAAACACTACACACAAGTATGTTACTGCATTCCAATGGCAACAGTACATACAAATACCCCAACATACACACATATACTCGGTACAAAAACATGCTTACATTCAAACTCACAAAAACTGGTCACAAATAAAATCCTGCAAGGATTGGCAAATGGTAGATCTCCACATGGTATAGCATTGTTGAAGTTGTACAACAGATGGGGATCTACCTTTTGTACTTTCTTCCACTAGAGGACTTTAGGACCATACCACTTTCTTTAAATGGGTCAATTTATTGCTTTTTTGACGTGTTTTTCTGCATTTTTTTTATTCTGTCTCTCGCTATTAAAATACAGCTACCATTAAAATTATAGACTGATCATTACTTTGTCAGTGGGCAAACATTCAAAATCAGCAGGGGATTAAATACTTTTCCCCCCTCACTGTATACACCTGACTGTTACAGGCAATTGTTCTTGGAAGATTGCACCTATAGTGTGGTAGTGACTGGAGGTTTAGAAAAGTTTAATGTTTTTTATAATTATCTTTTAAATTACGCATTTTTACACACAACATTATTATTTTATTATACATTTAGAACCCATATTGTCTTTTACCTAACAGATGTGTTCTCACCTTTGCTGTGGCACCAAATTCCAGTCTCCATTCCAGGCCCATCCCACAGGAGGCTGGATTTTGTCACGTGGAATCCTCAACTTGCCAGTTACGTCTGAATAAGCAGGGTGGGAACCTAATAACTTGGCACTCCAACTACCAAAACTCTTGGTCTGGATCTCATACTGAGAGTATAACAGGAGAATCTTAAAATGGGCATTTTTGATAATAAAATGCAGAATGAGGAGTACAGAAAAAGAGAGTGCAATAACAAGGTAGGATAGGAAAATACAATCTATCAATTTTACTTAACAGCAATAAACTATATCAAGAAAAAAAAGTTGTGCTTTTTGGACAGAAAATTGGACTGAATAGGCCATGTGGCTTTTGTCACTCATGAAAAATGAAGTTTCTGGTTTTCTGCAATGACATACAAGAACCATTCTTTTTAAATGGCAGAAGCATTCAAGAAATAAAGAGTTTCAAATGTTAACTAAAAGCTGAAGAGGAAACAGATTATTGAGCAGTACATATACACTGTGTATATTAATAGTGCAGTGCATAAGGATAGACATGTTTTATATGTTTTGGTTCTGTATTTCAGCATAAGGAATTTAATGATCAATAGTTAAAGTAAAGACCTCCAAAATAAATGTGATTTTATTTACATACATAAATAGTGAATGATAATATTCTTTTTATACGCATAAGGGACAAAATGTAAACAGACAGATTGATATAATTGCCATTTTTTACAATGTTTATTTCATAGTGAATGTTTAACATAACAGCAAAGAAGAACCTGGTAATTTAATTGTCATATGCATATGAAGACACATAATGGGGAAACGTGAGAAAGGAAATGCTATACAGAGAAAATTAAGAAATAACGAAGGAATAAGAATGAGATTAGTATAGGGGAAGGATTGTTTAGGGGTGATCAAAGTTTTGTATAACATATGCAGTTATCGATTCCAACTGGGGGGCCAGGTTGCAAATGTTGAACAGAGGCTGTCAACTCTTCCAGTGCTATGATCTTTTCGACTTAATAGATCCACTGGAATACATTTGGTGAAAGCAAATTCTTTCAATGAATCAGAGATTTAGTGACATTCAACAAGTTACTGAGATATGTGTATTTTTTATGGAAATTGGAATATTGGTAGTATGTAATAATCTTCTGTAACATTTTTTAAATTTTTTTTTTTAAAGTGCTGCATGAGGATAACAATTATCAACAAGTATTCCAAGAAATAGGTGCAAATATATGGGAGAACTCTTAACATGTAACTCTGGTCATTATTATTATTATTATTATTGCCATTTATATAGCGCCAACAGATTCTGTAGCGCTTTACAATATTATGAGAGGGGGGGATGTAACTATAAATAGGACAATTACAAGAAAACTTACAGGAACGAGAGGTTGAAGAGGACCCTGCTCAAACGAGCTTACAGTCTATAGTAGGTGGGGTATAAAACACATTAGGACAGGAAATATCAATCAAATAAGGTGGGAGTGAAGCAGGGCTGGAGGAGAGAGTAAAGTGCTGCCCTGTAGGAGAGAGCAAGAGACAGGTGTGTAAGGTAGAGGTTTCTCAGGGAGGCCATAAGCTTTCCTAAAGAGATGGGTTTTGAGGCACTTCTTAAAGGGACACTATAGTCACCCGAACAACTTTAGCTTAATTAAGCAGTTTTGGTGTATAGAACATGCTCCTGCAGCCTCACTGCTCAATCCTCTGCCATTTAGGAGTTATATCCCTTTGTTTATGAACCCTAGTCACACCTCCCTGCATGTGACTTGCACAGCATTCCATAAACACTTCCTGTAAAGAGAGCCCTATTTATTGCAAGTGCTGTTTAATTAAGATTTTCTTATCCCCTGCTATGTTAATAGCTTGCTAGACCCTGCAAGAGCCTCCTGTATGTGATTAAAGTTTAATTTAGAGATACAATTATTTAAGGTAAATTACATCTGTTTGAAAGTGAAACCAGTTTTTTTTTTCTATGCAGGCTCTGTCAATCATAGCCAGGGGAGGTGTGGCTAGGGCTGCATAAACATAAACAACGTGATTTAACTCCTAAATGAGAGTGAATTGAGCAGTGAAATTGTAGGGGAATGATCTTTACACTAAAACTGCTTTATTTAGCTAAAGTAATTTAGGTGACTATAGTGTTCCTTTAAATGATTGACGACTAGGGGAGAGTCTGATGTGGGTAGGCAGGCTATTCCATAGGAAGGGAGCTGCCCACAAGAAGTCCTGCAAGCGTAAGTTGGCCGTACGGGTGTGAGCATCCCTGCTTAAGGCAATATCTCAAGCACCATAACCAGTATAGCCAATTTCTTTAATGTTCCTGTTCCTAAGTTTGGCATAAAAAGGGTTAATTTGCCAGAAATACACAAATACCGTTTAACAAGCCAAATCAGGGGAACCAGAAATCAGAGTAATCAGGAATAGTCAAGGTCAAGATACCGTAAATCACAAATGGAACAAGGATAAACGCACTCTCGGGAACCAGGACAGGAAACCACAACAGGGCAAGGTACTGGAGTGAATCAGGGATTTAAATATCCCTCTCTGGGCTATGGTCAGAGGATGACCTCTCACTCCAGAACGTGCGCGCGCGTTGACGTTGTGACATCACACGCACGCTAGTATAATTATGAAGGGCAGAGCCAATGATGGACGAATGGTCGTGCCGTCTTTGTTTTGGCGGAAGGATGCGGAGGAGCAGTTCCCGGCGAGCCGGGAGCCGTGACAGTACCCCCCACTCGAAGAAGGGAAGGAGCCGGCTTGTGAGGAAAGCAGTTGTGAAACAACCGGACAAGACGGGGTGCATGAACCCGGTCAGCAGGAACCCAACTACGTTCCATTGGGCTATATCCCTTCCAGTCAACTAAATAAGACATAACACCCCTAGAGATCTTGGAGTCCAATATAGATCGGACTTCATATAACTCCTAATCACCTACCACCAATGGCGGAGGAGGAACAATGTTTTAGTGTATCGATTGCAAGTGAGAGGCTTAAGCAATGACACATGGAACGAAATGGCAACTCTCATGTGCGCAGGGAGTACCAAGGAATAAGTCACAGGGTTAATACGACAAAGGACACGAAAAGGGCCTATGTGTCGAGGAGCAAGTTTCATAGAAGGGACTTTGAGCTTGGTATGACGTGTGGATAACCAAACCCTGTCCCCTGTTTGATAGACAGGATTGACACCCCGTTTGTCAGCTTGGACTTTAGCGCGTTTAGAGGCATTCTGTAGTGCTGAATGAACAGAATCCCAAGTGTCATGAATAGAAGCCAAACGGATGTTCAAAGCAAGAATATCAGTGCCTGAAAATTCATAAGGTAAAACAGTGGGGTGATAACCTTGATTTACAAAAGATGGACTATGATTAGAGGATTCATGAGTCGCATTATTTCTGGCAAATTCAGCCATGGGTAAGAGTTCATACCAATTGGACTGATTGGCATCGATAAAGCAACGCAAATAGGATTCTAAAGATTGATTGGCTCTCTCTGCTGCGCCATTAGTCTGAGGATGGTACGAAGAGGAGAATGAAAGTTCTATGCCCAATTGTTTACAAAAGGCACGCCAGAACCTAGAGATAAATTGGGTACCTCTGTCAGAAACATTGTTTTTTGGTACTCCATGTAAGCAAAAGATTTCCTTTATGAAAATTTGGACTAGATCTTGAGCAGATGACAATTCTTTAAGAGGTATAAAATGTTCCATCTTGGAGAATCTATCTACCACCATGAGGATGGTGTTATACCCATTAGAACTGGGGAGTTCCATAATGAAATCCATGGCTAAATGGGTCCATGGAGCATCAGGTATTGGAAGTGGCTGTAGCAACCCAGGGGGAGATTTATGAGATGTTTTGGAAACAGCACATATTTGACACGCCCCTACATAGTCTTTAACGTCACCTCTAAGTGTAGGCCACCAAAATTTCCTGGAAATGGCAGAGAGAGATTTATGTATTCCAGGATGTCCTGCTGTCAGATTATCATGAAATAATCCAAATACTTTTTCCCTCAACAATGATGTAACATATAGTTTGTTCAGAGGTTTCTCCACGGGTGCCTGAGTTTGATCTGCTATTATGGCACAAAAAATCATAGTAGCAATAAGACATTCTCGAGGGAATACCTCTTGTTCAGGAACCTCATCTGTCTCAAACTGTCTAGACAGAGCATCTGCCTTAGTGTTCTTGGTCCCGGGTCTGTATGTAATGACAAAATTGAAACGGGAGAGGAACAGTGACCATCTAGCCTGTCGGGAGGACAATCTCTTAGCGTCCCCAATATAAGCCAAGTTCTTGTGAGCGCTAAGAATCAAAAGTGGCTCTTTGGAACTTTCTAAGAGATGTCTCCATTCTTTGAGGGAAAGGACAATGGCCAGTAATTCTCTATTCCCGATGTCATAGTTTCTCTGCAGGAGTTATTTTTCGAGAGAAAAACCCACAGGGATGTAAAGGCTTGTCAGGACTTTCTCGTTGAGACAGAATGGCTCCTACTCTTGTCTCCGACGAATCTACTTCTAAAATAAAAGGCGTCAGAACAGGTGCCGAAGCAAATAAAGATTTTAATTTCTCGAATGCTTCCTTTGCATCCTTGGGCCATGAATTGCAATTTGCTCTTTTTTTGGTAAGGTTGGTAATAGGAGCGATTACCGATGAGAAACCCTTAATGAATTTGCGGTAATAATTAGCAAATCCTACAAAACACTGTGTAGCTTTAAGACCTTTAGGTAACGGCCATTGTAAACTGCCTCCAGTTTGTGTGGGTCCATTTTAAAACCAGAAGGGGATATAATGTATCCATGGATTTCATTTAATAGGAGCGATTACCGATGAGAAACCCTTAATGAATTTGCGGTAATAATTAGCAAATCCTACAAAACACTGTGTAGCTTTAAGACCTTTAGGTAACGGCCATTGTAAACTGCCTCCAGTTTGTGTGGGTCCATTTTAAAACCAGAAGGGGATATAATGTATCCAAGGAATTGTATTTCAGTCTGGTCAAACTGGCATTTTTCAAGCTTACAGTATAAGCCGTTTTCTAACAGGGTCTTTAATAGATAAGGATGTCATCTAGATACACTAGAACGAACATGTGGCGGTAGTCTCTAAGGACATCATTTATAAAAACCTGAAACACAGCTGGAGCGTTGCACAAACCAAATGGCATAACCAGGTATTCGTAATGTCCCATTCTAGTATTAAACGCCGTAATCCACTCATGTCCCTCCTTAATTCTGACTAGGTTGTATGCACTCCTTAGATCGAGTTTTGTGAATACTTGGGCACCCTTCAACCTATCAAATAGCTCGGAAATAAGGGGAATTGGGTAGGCGTTTTTAATAGTTATTTTATTCAGACCCCTATAAGCGATGCAAGGGCGTAGGTCTCCTTTTTTGGAAACGAAGAGGAACCCAGCTCCAGCAGGTGAGGAGGATCTTCGTATGTGACCCTTCCTTAGCGCATCCTTAATATATTCCTCTAAACAAAGAGTTTCTTGAAGTGATAGTGCATAAACTCCTCCTTTAGGGAGCATAGTACCTGGTAACAAATTTATGGCACAGTCAGGGCCGGATTAACATAGGGGCTGATGGAGCTGCAGTTCCAGGCCCATGCCCATTGATTTAAAAAAAAAGAAAACTTTTTTTTTTTTTTTTTTGTCACACACTACTCTTAGGGATTCCACCTGGCTTTTATTTTATTGGCACAGCCAGTATTTGAGGCTGCCTGGCTGGTGCAAATATTGCAGTGATACTGGCAATACAAATGCTGGTATTTTTCTCAGTAGAAAGTGATTACTATGCAATACCAGCACTGGTCAGTAGGGGTCGCTGTGTGTGGAGAGAGGCAGGGATAGGAAGTTCCAGCATATCCCTCCCTGCCTATCTCTACTCACTGATCTGCAGGGGTGCAGCTACAGAGAGTCCAGACTGCAACTCCCACACTGCAGACACAGCCTACAGCTCAGGGAAGTAAGGGATGGGGTGAAAGGCTGCAAGGAGACATACACTGAGACACTAAGGGACATTGGGAGACATTATGGCAGACACTGAGACACTAAGGGACATTGGGAGACATTATGACACAGACACATGGGGACACAGTGCCCCTAGTCTGCCAGTGTCTCACTGTCCCCATGTCTCCTAGTGCCTCCATGTCTCTCAGTGCCTTAAGTGTCACAATGTCCCCAAGCTAGTGTCCCTAGTGTCTGTGGCCCTGGTGTCTCCCAGTGCCCCCATGTCTCAATGTCCCCATACTCCCCCAGCCAGTGTCTCTAGTGTCTTTATCCCTGGTGTCTGTGTCCCCATGTCTTCAAGTGTCCCCTATTTTCCCATTGTCCCCATGTGTCCCAGCCAGAGTCCCCTAGTCTCCCAGTCTCACTGGTGTCTCCATGTCCCTAGGTCTCCCCGTGTCCCCAGATCTCCCAGTCTTCCTAGTGTCCTAGTGACATGGGGACCCTGGGATATATGGGGAGACATGGGGCATTGAGACACTGATACATAGGATCACTGGGAGACCTGGGGACACGACACTAGGGGACACTGGGAGACATGGGGCACTGAGACACTGATACATAGGAACACTGAGACCTGGAGGAATTGACACATGGGGGCACTGAGTCATGAGGGCACTGGGAGACATGGGGGCACTGGGATGAATCCATCTGTACAGCAGATTTAAACTAAGTAGTTTTTTGGTGATTTTACAGCATTTTCTCTTATGTCACTCCTTGTGATTTACATCATGTGATGTCACCCACACATATTTAATTATGCAAATTAGTAAGGCTGGTATGTTTTTCCAAGAAAGGTGGCAACCCTAACTACTTTTCACATACTCTTACTTAAGTATGGAAACTGAAGAGGGATGTATGGGAACAAAACTTGAGTGGACTGGCTGACAATGAATATAGTTAAAGGGACACTATAGTCACCAGAACAACTACAGCTTATTGAATTTGTTCTGGTGAGTAGAATCTTTACCTTCGGGCTTTTTGCTGTAAACACTGTCTTTTCAGAGAAAATGCAGTCTTTACTTTACATCCTAGTGGCCACTGGCCACTCCTCAGATAGCTGTTAGAGATCCTTCCTGGGTCATGGCTGCCTAAAATGCATCCAAACATTCAGTATCTCCTCCCTCTGCATGCAGACACTGAACTTTCCTCATAGAGATTCATTAATTAAATTCATCTATATAAGGAGATGCTGATTGGCCAGGGCTGTGTTTGAATCATGATGGCTCTGACCATGATCTGCTTCTTTGTCAGTCTCAGCCAATCCTATGGGGAAGCACTGTTATTGGATCAGGCCACCACTTGTAATGATGTCAGCAGACTGCTTGTTTTTATGAGTCTAACAGCATGCAGAGTTACAGCTTCAGGCTTGAATATAGTAGGATTTTTCTATATTTATGGAGGCATGAGGGGCCCAGGGGGGCTAGATGGTGGTGTTAACACTATAGGGTCATGAATTCATGTTTGTGTTCCTGACCCTATAGTGATCCTTTAAGGTAATGCTGAGTTTGGTCTCTCTAACACTGTGGCATGTTCCCTTTCTTCTACACTCACTACATACAGCTTTTCTCTGTCCCAGACCATATACCAGCAGCTTCTGTCTGCTAGTAAGAAGGTAAGGAGACAAGTGGACCAGCGAGTGCTAGGGGACAGTCCTTAGAAAGCGTTGAGTGAGCGCATCATTAGATGCATTTATGCCAAGCTCAGGGTGCTGTCTGCATAGTATGCCCTTAGTTGGCCAGCTGCATGATTGGCAGGCAGCCTGACATGCATTCATGCCAGGCTGGCCTTCTAATTCTTTGAGCAGACATGTCCTCTTTTTGGGCATGTTCGCCCCTTTTGGCAGGTTACGTGATTTGTGTCAGTGGCACACCCTTTTACCATGCCCATTGACTTCCTGCTTGACTGGACACTGCTGTTAGGGGTTATGGATTTACTTGAAAGATGAAAACATAAATTAGAGAGAGATTAGCCTAGGGTATGTGTTTTCTTATAGCTGCTGTTTTCTTTCTCTCCAGCACCATCTCCATCAGATACATGATGCTTGGGAGTGTTTTACTGTTTTTGGTCGATATGATTCTGTAATTAGGCCAGTCATAATTGTCAGCACCAGGCCCACTGGGCTCTTAATCTGGCCCAGGGCACAGTCATAGGGTCTATGTGGTGGTAATACCTCAGACTGAACCTTGTTGAAGACTTCTTTTAAGGCTAAATACTGCGGAGGGATTTTCGTGGTTAAGGGAGGTGCCATAGGTACATTGAGGGTACACGTTGTGGCATCTGTTGTAAACAATGACCTCTGCAACTTTCTCCCCAACTCACAATTTCTCCTTTAACCCAATCTAAACGTGGATTGTGTTTCTGGAGCCATGGAAAACCGATTATTATAGGGCATGTAGGGGAAGATATAACCTGGAAAACCATTTCCTCACAATGTAAGATGCCTACTGAGACAGTGATTGGCAGAGTCTCCTGTGTGATGAGAGGCTGGGTAAGAGGTCTCCCATCAATAGCTTCCACTGCTATGGGTCTATCTTTTTGCCGTAATGGCAGAAGATGTTTAGCAGAGAAATCTTTGTCAAGGAAATACTCCGCTGCCCCAGAGTCAATCATGGCCTCACACTAAACAGTAGTTCTCTTACAATGCAAAGTAATATTTACAAGGAAATGGTTCTATTTGGGGGACATATACATCACACCTAAGGTCGGTCCTCGAATGTGCCTTAGGTGCGCAAGTTTTCCGGCCGAGCCGGACATGAGAGCCTTTGATGTCCCCGTTTTCCACAATATAGACAACCCCTCGTTACGTCTGTGTTGTTTCTCTGCCTCAGTGAGTTTAGCAATGCCCGATTGCATGGGCTCAACCTCTGGAGGTGGAGCAGGGTTAGCTATCACTGGGTTAGAGAAACGAGGGGCTATAGATAAATTGGCATTTTGCACAGTCTGTTGCTCTTCATAATTCATTTTCTGCACTTTGTGGAGAGAGGCACTGAGGCTAGTGGTGTTGTGGAGAGAGGCACTGAGGCTAGTGGTGTTGTGGAGAGAGGCACTAAGACTAGTGGTGTTGTGGAGACCGGCTTGGAGACTATGGTGAGGCCTAATAGAAAGCAGTTGTTGTTGGGTGATTCCATTATAAGAGGTGTGGAGATGGACAATGGTGGTCTTGTGAGGTGTCTTCCCGGAGCTACTGCTCACAGAGACAGGAGACGTATCTGTAATATTGTTAAGCAAGCAAAGCAGGAAGGGGAATTGGATGTACTTGTCCATCTAGGGACAAATGACTTGGCTTGCAATGAGGTTTCAGAGGTTAAGGAAGTTTTTAGTGTTTTTGCCAATGATATACGGCAGGTTGCTTCCACACTGTCATTCTCTGAAGTTCTGCCTGTGCATAACACTCAGAACGACAGGCGGATGCGTATTAGGGACTTTAATTTGTGGCTTGGTGAATGGTGTCGGGAGCAAGGATTTGGCTTTATTTCTCATGGTAGCTCTGTTTGGAATGGAGATAAGCTGTACAAAAAAGATGGTTTGCATCTTTCTCAAAAGGGAACAAATGTTCTCAGTGAGCAGTTCAGAGGTTTTGTTAGGATGTATTTAAACTAGGAGGGGGGGCAAAAGGGTGATAAAACATCAATCCAATTGTCCCCCAAAACAAGGACAGAAGGTGCCTGTAGCAAGTGTGTTAAAAAATGATAAGCTTAGAGTCATGTCTACAAATGCTCGCAGTTTAGGGAATAAGATCCATGAACTTGTGGCAATAATGGCAACTGATAGTGTAGATTTAGTCGCTGTTACTGAGACATGGTACAATGAGAAAAATGACTGGGACATAGCAATACCAGGGTACTCTTTATATAGGAAAGATAGGGAAGGCAAGAAAGGGGGAGGGGTGGCCTTGTATGTGAAGGATAGCATAAAATCTAGCCTAATAAAAGTTAGTGAGGCAAACATAGAGTCCGTTTGGGCTACGTTAGAATTTGGTAATCACACAGTAACTCGTGTAGGTGTGATTTATAGGCCCCCAGGACAAATTGAAGAGTTAGATAATCTACTAGTTGAGGAAATAGCTAAAATGACAATGAAGGGGGAAGTTATCATCATGGGTGACTTTAATCTTCCTGATGTAAATTGGAAAACAAAATTAGCTACTTGTGCCAGGAGCACACATATTCTAAACTCCCTACTGGGATTGTCTCTAAAACAAGTTGTTGAGGAGCCAACTCGTAAAGAGGCCATACTAGATTTAGTGTTAACAAATGGAGATTTGGTATCAGATGTTACTGTAGGTGAAAGTTTAGGATCCAGTGATCATCAGTCAGTATGGTTTAATATAAGAACAGTGACTGAGTCACACCACACAAAAACAAAAGTTTTAGACTTTAGAAAAACAGACTTTTCTAAAATTAGAATATGGGTAGAGGAGTCATTATCAGACTGGAGCAATTTAAATGGAGTCCAAGAAAAATGGGATTATTTAAAAGTTGCACTATTGAAGGCAACAGAAAATTGCATTAGGCTTGTCAGTAAAAGCAAAAAATTCAAGAAACCACTGTGGTACTCCGCAGATGTGGCCAAAATAGTTAAAAACAAAAAGTTAGCATTTAGGAATTATAAAAAAACCCAGAGTGAGGGAGACAAAATGATCTATAAGATTAGGCAGAAAGAGGCTAAGCAAGTTATAAGAGCTTCCAAATCACACACAGAAGAGAAAATAGCACAGTCAGTAAAAAAGGGGGATAAAACATTTTTTAGATACATAAATGAGAAAAGAAAAGTAAAACAAGGATTAGTTAGATTAAAAACAAAAGAAGGAAGGTATGTAGAAGAGGATAAAGGTCAGGCTGACTGCCTCAATGAATATTTTTGTTCTGTATTTACAGAAGAAAATGAAGGAAAGGGACCTCAGTTGAGAAAAAGGATAAATGAGTCATTTATTACACGTGAGTTTACAGAGGAAGAGGTTCTATTTCAACTGTCAAAAGTAAAGACAAATAAGTCAATGGGACCTGATGGAATACACCCAAAGCTATTAAGAGAGCTTAGTGGTGTACTAGCAAAACCATTAACAGATTTATTTAATCAATCATTGTTAACAGGAGTAGTCCCAGAAGATTGGAAGTTCGCGAATGTTGTGCCCATTTACAAGAAAGGTAATAGGGAGGAGTCGGGCAACTATAGGCCAGTAAGCCTTACTTCAGTAGTGGGGAAAGTGATGGAAACCATGTTAAAGGATAGGATTGTTGAACATCTAAAACACATGGATTTCAAGATCAGAGACAACATGGGTTTACTTCAGGGAGATCATGCCAAACTAATCTTATTGATTTTTTGATTGGGTAACTAAAATAATAGATCAGGGTGGTGCAGTAGACATTGCTTACCTAGATTTCAGTAAGGCATTTGACACTGTTGCACATAGAAGGCTTATCAATAAACTGCAATCTTTAAGTTTGGATTCCAATATTGTTGAATGGGTAAGGCAGTGGCTGAGTGACAGGCAACAGAGGGTTGTAGTTAATGGAATATATTCGAAGCTTGGACTTGTCACCAGTGGGGTACCTCAGGGATCTGTACTTGGACCCATTCTCTTTAATATTTTTATTAGTGATATTGCAGAAGGTCTTGATGGTAAGGTATGTCTTTTTGCTGATGATACTAAGATATGTAACAGGGTTGATGTTCCAGGAGGGATAAGCCAAATGACAAATGATTTAGGTAAACTAGAAAAATGGTCAGAATTGTGGCAACTGACATTTAATGTGGATAAGTGCAAGATAATGCATCTTGGACGTAAAAACCCAAGGGCAGAGTACAGAATATTTGATAGAGTTCTAACCTCAACATATGAGGAAAGGGATTTAGGGGTGATTATTTCTGATGACTTAAAGGTAGGCAGACAATGTAATAGAGCAGCAGGAAATGCTAGCAGAATGCTTGGTTGTATAGGGAGAGGTATTAGCAGTAGAAAGAGGGAAGTGCTCATGCCATTGTACAGAACACTGGTGAGACCTCACTTGGAGTATTGTACACAGTACTGGAGACCGTATCTTCAGAAGGATATTGATACCTTAGAGAGGGTTCAGAGAAGGGCTACTAAACTGGTTCATGGATTGCGGGATAAAACTTACCAGGAAAGGTTAAAGGATCTTAACATGTATAGCTTGGAGGAAAGACGAGACAGGGGGGATATGATAGAAACATTTAAATATATAAAGGGAATCAACACAGTAAAGGAGGAGACTATATTTAAAAGAAGAAAAACTACCACAACAAGAGGACATAGTCTTAAATTAGAGGGACAAAGGTTTAAAAATAATATCAGGAAGTATTACTTTACTGAGAGGGTAGTGGATGCATGGAATAGCCTTCCAGCTGAAGTGGTAGAGGTTAACACAGTAAAGGAGTTTAAGCATGCGTGGGATAGGCATAAGGCTATCCTAACTATAAGATAAGGCTAGGGACTAATGAAAGTATTTAGAAAATTGGGCAGACTAGATGGGCCGAATGGTTCTTATCTGCCGTCACATTCTATGTTTCTATGTTTCTATATGTTTCTATGGTACGTCTAGTACGCTGTTTGATTTTTTCGCTTTCTCTGAGCCTATTGTCAATATAAATCATGTATGTTATATAATTGTTGAGATTTACCGGAAGGTCTCTGGCTGCGGTCTCATCCTGTATATTTTCAGCCAAACCTTCAGAAAAAGCAGCCATCAGACCACTGTTAGTCCAGTCCACCTCAGATGCTAATGTCCTGAACTCAATGGCATAGTCCGCTACAGAGAGGGTACCTTGCTTTATTCTCATTAAGGCTTTAGCAGCGGTTTTTTTTCTCTTCCCTTAGGTTCAAAGGTAGCTCAAAATGCTGTTAAAAATTCATTGTAATCACGGGCTATGGAATTCCCACTCTACCATAAGGGATTAGTCCACGTTAAGACCTTCCCGTTAATTGGGTCATAAGATAGCCAATTTTTGATCTGTAGGGAAAGAACCGGGACAAGCTTCGATATGATATTCAATCTGGTTTAGAAAACCTCTGAAATCCTTAGAATCACTCCAAAACGAGGAGGAGAGGAAAGGGTTATGGATAGAGGTTTATATGCCACAGGTACAGGAATAGGTTGCAGCATTACCGGTTGGACCGAAGGTGCCTCAAGATAAGCAGTTCTCTGAAGCAAGGTCTGAAAACGCTTGGGCAAACTGATCTAACCTGTGGTCCATATCCTCCACCCTGCCCTCACAGGCTATTATATGTTTACATAGTTCCGCAGGATCCATGGCCCTGTCGTAATGTCACGACTGCTAGTGTGGTCCAACACGCAGAACTATGTAACCATATACATAGAAAAATAGCAAGGAAATAAAAAGGACAGAAGTAAACCAGACCTTAGAATGGCCGGACTAATATGTTAGAGACAGAGAATGGTCAAGGGATAGCCGAGGTCAAGGAAGCCAGAAATACACAAATACCGTTTAACAAGCCAAGTCAGGGGAACCAGAAAGCAGAGTAATCAGGAATAGTCAAGGTCAAGATACCGGAAATCACAAATGGAATAAGGATAAACGCACTCTCGGGAACCAGGACAAGAAACCACGACAGGGCAAGGTAGTGGAGTGAATCAGGGATTTAAATATCCCTCTCTGGACTATGATTGGTCAGAGGATGACCTCTGACCCCAGAACGTGCGCGCTCGTTGACGTTGTGACGTCACACGCATGCTAGTATAATTTTGGGGGGCGGCGCCAATGATGGACGTGACCGCATGGTCGGCGCCATCTTTGTTTTGGCGGAAGGATGCAGAGGAGCGGTTCCAGGTAAGCTCAGCTTGTCAGGTGGCAAGCCGGGAGCAGTCACACATGCTTTATTCTAAAGAGACCTTCATCTTCTCCTGCAGAAAAAGTATCATATGCAGTGCAGGCGTCGCAGGGACCCATGTAATTTGGCAAATAGAAGTAAAATGGTT